AAATACAGTGCATGTGCGGTACTGTGAGAATAAGCACCAAAATGCCTAATGCAAGTTCCTTTGCATTAGAAAATATACTATTAGTGTGAATGGGGAATTCTACTCGAGCGATAATCTCGCCAGATCTCATAAATTGTGTCTTCAATTTTGAGGAGTATGTAGTTATTATTATTATTTTCTTCTCTCTCTCTCTCTCTCTTCCCAAAAGCTAATTTCAGTGCTAGCAATGACATTGTAAGGGAAATGTGGGAGCAATAATAATCAAAAATGGAAAGATGAGGGTTGATAGAATTTAAATAGAAGATGGCAGTAGGGGAGTAGATAACTAGAAGAATCTTTAACTACGTTTCATAGAGACAAAGTCAGCATCTATGAAACATGAAAATTGGGATCTCTTGGACAATTAGGTACTGGATGTAATGGCCATCACTTACGAAGAGCATTACCTTCAAAATATGACATAAGCATAAGACAGATGCGATGATATAAGCATTATTAAATATTGACAAGAATACATCAACAGTAAAAAAGGTATTTCAATTGAGAAAATTATTAAATCTAAAGATGTCCGAAGGTGCTTTTGCAGCAAAGCATATCAACAGATTCATCAAAAATCAGTTGAGCTCAATTGATATCAACTTTGAGGATGAAGTTCATGCCTTGAATAGATCATTCTTTTGTTTTAATATTACCAAGTAGAAATTTAACATTATCAGCTTGAATACGTTTGTGTATATATATAACGTCCTTATCTTTCTTGGGGTAATTTTTGTAATTTTTAAATATAAAAGATAAAAAGGGTAAAAGAACAACCCTATCTTATAGAGTTATAGGGGGATTTCCAACATATTTAGATATAAATATATATTTTTTAAATATCTCACCTTGTCTTACAGGGGATTATAAGTACAGTACTTCTTGATTAGGTTGGTATGCATAATATATTTTTCAAGTATGAACCTTTGATTGACGATATTGGTGTTTGACCATTCAGATTGATAAATTGATAGGCTTCTTCTTATCATGCCTTCTCGATAACGAAGAGGCTTTCTTAATTATGCTTAAATATACCATCAATTCTTTGACGATGAATTGTTAGCCTTTTCAATTCCAAAACTAGTTCTCATTTTTGGAATGTCCAAGGATAGACATTATGATCAAAGGACCAAGCCATCCTTGGTCGATAAATTTTCAAATTTTGTTAAGGTCTGAGCCTAATTTCATCAACTACATCGAGCTCTTTTATTCGTAAACGGATATTTTGTTTTGAAGTGAAGTCATTTTGGGAAGCTACTCGAAGTAATGACAACTCAACCTTAAGTGACATGACTATTTCAAATCTAAGCGCCAGGGTATGAGTAACTTTGGTTGGCATCTTATAGTAAGTATAGTATGACTACAACACTTCTATCATTGTGGTATGCTATTTTATTATTATTGGTGAGAATTTATTTGAGTAGCTTGTGACGTGTTATTAAAGGCTTCTGCCATGCCATTTGGACATGGATTTTAGATTGATGAATATAAATAATCGATTTTATATCAATTGATAAATTTATATATATATATTTTTTTACTATTGAAAAATGGGTAACTATTTGAGATAATATGCTATGGCACACCGAATCTGTAGATTATATTGTGTTTCAATAAATCGATTACTTGTTTGTTGAGAACTTCTTTGAATGGAAGGGCTTAAATCTATTTCGAGAAATAGTCAGTTGTTGCTAATATGAAGCAATGCCTATGCAAATGGTTGGCGAATCGATGGGTCCAATAATATCCATGCTCCAATATTCAATTGGCTAGGATGCTATCATTGATATAACATATTTGGAGGTTGGTGTATTTTATCTCCATGTATTTGATATTCATGATATATGACATCTGTTGATATGATCAATGCTATCTTTCATCATCGATGACCAGTATTAATCATTCTTTTAATTTTAATGGGCATTTTAGGACTTGATTAGTTTGTGCTAAAAGTCCTTTATGAATTTTGGTTATAACATTAGACATCATAGTCATATTTGATTAAATGATATATGGTTAAGAGTGTTATTGACAAAAGTTTACTGCATAATTCTTTTTTTTGAGTTGTGCGGCACTGTGGCTAATGATTTATTTTTGATAATTTGTCTCTTCTTTGAAGTAATTGACAACGATAACAACAAGACTTTATCCTGCTGTGTGGGACCGGTTACATGAATTTTTTTCTCCATTTTGTCTTCTTAAGAGTCTAAATTCTCATCTAAATCTAACAGATTCTTTAAAGTAATCAACGGAATGCTTTATTCAATTATTTTGCTCTTTTTCCATGAAGTTTTTGTTTTAGTTCTAAAACCTTCTCAGGCCTGCATTCTTCTTGAATAGTTTGAGTTTCTTCTTGTTGGTTTGAGAAATAGGTTGTGGAGTGCAAGGACTACCAAAGCTATATCATACTAGTTTGGACTTGATAACCCCGTCACCTATGGGGTTTATAGAAATGCAGACTCTAAAACTTGACGAATCAACATAGGCTTGTTGTTCATTCTCGATGTCTCCCTGACCAATGACTAAGGTGTCTGATTTGCTTTTCTGGGTTGGAAAGACTTGGGGTATGATGACATGATAGAATTACTTCATGAGCTCCAGAACTCACTTGACATGAAAAGCCAACTAAAGCTTGTTGATCTTATAATTGTCAGACAATTGATTTATGATGACTAAAAAATGCCAAAGATTTAAATTCTTCTAAGCCATATTGCAATGGCTATATCAAGACCTTTAAAAGGGTCTCTTATTCAGCTTCTTTGTTGGTTCTTGATTCAATCAAACCGAACGAGCATTTCATAATACCTCCTTCCAATGTTATGAAAGTAAGATCAATACCATCTAGCAACTTTGGAAGGTTTGGAGGATGAGCACGTTTGATTTATTTCACTCCATCAAAAAATAGTTTACAAATTTGATTATGTTTTTGAATGAGCAAAATTTGTTCATTTGGCAAGTCATCATTTAGAGGTGAATTTGCAGGAATAAGATGTGTATCAAAAGAGGCAGTTATAATTTTTCCTTTCATTTTCTTCTAGGGATAATATGTGATGTCAAATTGCAAGAGCAGAGTCTCACTCATATGGTTAAGCATCAAATCAGTGCTGGACATGCCATTAAGAACATCGAGGGATGAATTCTTAAGATCAAAGTAACTTTATTAGAAAGTATATGGATAGTGAAAATCAACACCAAATAAAGCTTTTTATTTGGAGAGTAGTGTACTTCTGCTCTTATTAGCCTTTGACTGATGTAATAGATAACATTCTCTTTGCCTCATTCATTGTGGTGTGCCAACAATGCTCTAAGGGAGTATTTTGATGCTGCTGTGTATATGATAAGAGCTTCCCTGGAATTGGTACTATAAGAATAGGCGGGCTTAATAGATATTTTTGTTTCTATTGAGAATTATTTGGCATTCTTTGTCCTATTTGAAGCATCAATTCTTTTTCATTATTTACTAAAAGGGTAGTTCATGGCTTTTGTTGAGTAGATTTGAGTCAGCTAAAAGGGTAGTTGATGGCTTGTGTTGAGTAGATTTGAGCCATGCTGAAATAATGCATAAAATATGAAAGACACATCTGATTGCAAAGAACCCTTACCCCTAACAAACATCAGGGAAAGAAAAAGTGGGAACAACATACTCGATATGTGGAGCAATTGCAACATGATCAAGAAAAATTATAAAACTTGATGGACCATCAACATCTGCTGGATCATAATATGACAATGAGTAATTGAATCACCATCAACTACTACAGTAGGATTGTGAGAAACTAAAACTTGAGGGTAGTGGAGTTGATACCATCATGGAGTATAGTCAATGCAAGTCTTTTCTTAAACAAACATCGCAAGAAGTCGGAATATGCATGCTAACCCTTATAAACAAGAAAGCAAGAGAAGATGGTAGATAGGCATTGATAATGACGAAGCTGGGATGTTGAAATTATTGTTAACAAGCACCAACAAAGCAGGCGAAGAGCTATATGTAGCCCTAAGAAGCAAAATAGAAACAAAAATCTACATAGGAAGGTGGGGGAGGTGAAGACGGGCTGCCATTGAAGACCGGCATTAGAGACCGAGTGCAAGCAAGAAGCAAAGAGCTCTTTTATTTCAGCATTCTTTCATTTCCAAGTAGCTACTCTAGGCGTTAAGCTGATTAATAGAGTAGAGCTCGCAAAACTAACCTCCAAGAATCTTCAATATTGTCTGTGTGCGTGTATGGAGTGGTTACCCCTAGTTTAACTTTAGTTGAACTGTTCCATTTAATGTGCTGTAATTTTCTTTTTCCTAAATAGTTTTCTAGCACAGCTTAATACAATGTGAATAAACAGTGGCTATTGGAATGTTAATTTATCTTTTTCCATTTAAAATCTAGTGACATATCAGAATTATAGAAAAACTAAAGAATATATGTTGGTTATTTGAGTACAATAAGTGATAGAGAAGAAACAGAATAAGATGTTGTTCATGTTTCTTTACTGATTTTAACAGTTTCCTTTCTCATATTTGGTTTTCTTGGGGTGTTGACGAGTTCAAGGCGTAGTTTTTTTCTTCAAAAACAAGTACGGAGCAACTATGGCTGGACAGGCGTACAAGAGGCATGCATACATGAGCATATTTCCTCCTTTCTTATCTGTTTATATGTTAATTTATCCTTCTTCCATCTTGGTCAGCATTGGCAACTTTTGGATCACACCATCCTTCCTATTATGACTGATTAGAAATTAACAATTTCATTTGTGCAGATTTTTTAAGCTAGGTTATTCTCATTGATATTTAATTTCCCATGTTATGGAATACTTCATTGAGATGCATATTGAAGTCTTTGCTCTTACTGATAATAGGTGTTTTTCATTATACGATGCATTTTTATTTCGAGAGTAATATTCTCCTCATGCAATTGTCCATTTTTATTTCCAGAGTAATAGTTTCCTCATAAAATTGTCCTAATTCTTGGTAGGGTGCTTAAGTTGCACTCTTACTGTAAATATGGGCAAACATCAATTGGTGAATCTAGGTGGGCTTTTGCTTAGACTTGTAGGGCCCATAAAGGGATCACCTTACACATGTTTTATTGATTTGTTGCATAGTTTATCTAGCATTTCTTTTTAATAATCATACTCTTGGATAGTCCTTTTTTAAATCCATGTGTCACGATAGGAGGGATAAGACCAATCCCTACTTATTTGTGCAAGTAAGAGCTTTTGGAGATTATAGAATACAAGCTCCTCTGCCTACTCTCCTTCGTCCACATTATATTTGCATTCTGAAATAAGGGTATCCCCTCTTATTTAGCTGGTTGATGCTAATAATTTGTCCCTAGCTGTCATTTTCATACGAGTAATTGGAGGCCTCATTAGCAAGTGATGCGAGCAAACTAGAGAGAAGACACAATGGAGAACACCTGGACAAATAAAAAACCAAACTCGATTCACTATAGCTTGCCAACAACCAAACAAACATTCGAAGAAACAAAGGACAAATCAAACTAAATAAAATAAGACAATAAAAACGCTATCCTCAGTATAACCGTCTAGCGGTTTCCTCACATGCGACGAGAGTAGGAAAATATTTTAAAATTGTGCTTAGGCTTGCAAACCGAGAGTCCACCACTGTAAAAGAGTCCAACGTCCTACCAAACTCCTCCGGCAAATGTCTCCAAATTTCAGCCAACAAACAACTTCCAAAGCTCAAGAAGAAGGATACAGGTGGAGTGGAACTCTCGTAGAGAGGAAGATGTTAGAAGCCAAGACAAAATAGAGAGGAGGAAAGGGGAATGGAACAAGCTCTCAAGTTTTTCCAAGACGAAACCCTTAGGTTTTTGTAGAGTTTTTACTCAGATTTTCAACAACCATTTTCAACCCAAAGCATCTCTATTATATAGGCAAAGAAAGAAGCTAAACAACCATAGCACTTCCAACTAAATCCAATCAGACTTGGGGAAATGAAAGGCCAAAAGCCACATAACAGCCAGCAGAAATTCTGCATAGAAAATAGGGAGAGAAGCCAAGGAAAACCCAACCAGCAGCCACAGGAAGCCCAGCCAGCAAGGGACCCAAAGAGCCAACACAGGAAACAGGGCAACACTTCACGGGAAAACAGCCAAGAGGGGTAAAACCGAGAGGGAGGACCATGGGAACAGCAACAGCCAGCAGAAACCGAGAAGACAAGAGGAAGAGAAGAGACACAAGTCCACTCCATAATAATGAGCTTATATAGAAGTATACCTTTTTGAATTAATGAACTAGGAAGTGCATTTATTCCACCAATTATTGAGCTAAACTTCAGCTCAAGCATTAATGAGCTAACGCCAAGTAGAACTCACATTTTAAGCTCATCAGCCAAGGCCCAACCCGAGAGCAGCAAACATCTCCAAACCGTGAACAACAAGCAGCCCAAGGACAAAATGGACCCAAGTGCAAGCAAACTTAAGGCTTGCCATTCCCAAGCACTTTCCTATCATGATCATTTGATGCGCTCTATCATTGGATAGCTTAAAAAAACATAAAACACAACTACTATTGTTCAAAATATATTAAAACAAAAATAAACTAAAAACATGAATGCATCAGCAAGCCAATCGTAAGTCCCATTACCCTCCCGATCAATTCCATGCTAGGATCAATTTTTTCTGTTTTGATTGTTTCAGTTATTTCAGATTGAGATCGTTTGAAATCAGTAATACTACAAAAAAACAAATGTTGAAATGTGTTTAACATTTTACTTAAAATTTATTTTCTAATTTTTGATCATCACAGACAAAAAGGATTTTAAATTTTTTATATTTTATTTCTGTTATTATGATATATATTAAGAAATTTATATTATCCCTTATAAAATTCATGTACTAATTTAATTAAATTACTTACGTCTATTTAAATTTACGATTCATGGAATTAATGAAGCCTTTCTAAATTTGGGCACTATTACTTTTTTACTAGCTTAAACTCATATAACTCTTATTCATAATGGTTGAAAGTTTAAAATTATAAGTTAGTAGCTAATTTTTTGTGAATATGCTTATGCAATTCATGTAAATCTTGCAAATAATGAGATGATAAAATACTAGTGGACGTCAATTCCTAGAAGATGTGATGGTAAAAAATCTAAAAGTGGACAAACAATAAAGATATGATTTACTTATATGGGTGGGTATTCTTTTAAAAAAAAAAACTATCCCAAATGGATTAAATACTAGTTTTGATGAATTAACCTTTAGGACAAACTAGAAGGATGAAATTTTAAATTTCTTTTTTAATGCATTCATTGCTAACAAATATAGAAATAGTGATGGCACTTTACTCTCATTGTGAGGTTTATTCTATAAATTTAAGTAAAATAAAATCAATATCGATTTGGTCATTCATAATAGGAGTAATGTTGCCAGATAATTCATTAAAAATTACATTTTAGTGCTTATTTTATTTATCAACTAAAATAAGCATGATTGGTTCATACTTTATTTTATTCACTAACTACAATAAACATGAGTTGTTCAATTACATATCCTAACAGCGATTCAATTTCTCCATTAGAAATGTAGGTTCATATATGTCTTTATGCTCAATTTTGTTGTCAATTCACCCAATTTTACTATTGATCAAGTGTATCTTCATGTTCATGAGCATGATCTAATTTAGATGTATATTCAAATCCAACAAACATCAAATATAGATTCAGCTTGTGACTGCAAATTTTATTTTGCATGTAGTATATCTTCAAAAGAGTATTCATGAAATGTTGTTTCTTCAATTACATCAACATCAATCATACATTATTCTTGCATTCGTGTGTTATTCATGAAATGTTGTTTCTTCAATTACATCAACATCAATCATACATTATTCTTGCATTCGTGTAACACTGCCGTTGCCAGGTCCCAAGTCCTGGATGAGAAAAGTGGAGGGTTGCGTTAGGTAGTCGACAGCCAGCGTAAAACTTGTCGAACAATAATGACATGAATCTTTTAAGAAATTGTGTTAATGATAGTTGAAACAACTCTAATAGAATGCTAGCAACATGCCTCAATACCCAAAGATTTAGATAAAACTTTAGGTAAAATTTTCGGTGTATTATAACTTAGTTCAACCTTAAAATTTACCCTATGACCTTTTTATGAAATAAATAACATTAATACCACAAATTTAAAGATAAATACTCTTAGGTGTAATACTTGTAAACCTTGTATAATACTCTAACACGTCATATTTATCTTCAAAGAATAATAAATATTACTCATTAAGTTTATGCTTCTTAGCAACCCATGATGGCATAGCAGCAACACTTCACCTAGATGATTGAATGCCCTTCAGTTTTGATTTGACACATTCAACTTTTTAGAAATCAAATATATTGTATTTTTTTATGAAGTCTTCAAAACCATCAATCCAATTTAAACTTTTAGGAGTTTATACTTCCCATCTAATTTTGGAATGTAATATTGCATCTTATGATAATCATGTTTTTTTTTTTTTCTAAAATTATAGCTTATAAGATTTCTTTTAAATTGAATATTTTGTTATTTTTTATCGACCCAATTAAAAATTTTAATTTAAGTTGACAAGATGCAATCATGAGCTCTGACTCTAATTTGATGTTGAATGTCTTAAAGTATAAGGTTCCTTGTACACACTTGGATAATATAATGAATTTAGATTATACCGAGGAAGTTAGGATTTGTAAGTCATTGACTATTAAATATGCATAACTTAATTTTCTTTAAATATAAATTAGAAAACTTGATAATTTGAACCCAAAAATAATTTAATGATCATATAAATCTTAAGAAATCAATAAAGAATTCAAGCCACATAAAATTGGTGGTAAATGGTAATTGAACTTTTATATTGCTATTAAAATTCCAGTTGTATTAAATTTGAACAAAATCAAGAAATTTGATTTGGTCCATAGCAAGATATTTAATTAGGTTAAGAAAAAATACACAATGGTAAAAAAATTAGGTCTCATGTTGATACAGGGATATCAAATTAACTATAAATTAAGTAGTCAAACTTATTCTATGATATAAGTAATCATAAATTCAACTTGTAGGCACAAGATTGGAATTAAAATAAGAAAATTTATTGAATCAAAGCTGTTATTTTACATGCCTAATAATAACTATATATGTTTTACATGGCTCATAGAGTTGCTCGATCATGAAGAAATAAAAAAAATATTCAAATTCCCTATTTTAAAGTCTAGAATAATGGTACTAAAAAAATTATAGAAGTTGAAAATCCATTGAAATAGTATTGGCAATTGTGTGCATTGTCACTGCCCAAGAAGGTAACAAGTGAAAGCAAGAAGGCATCCACCACTCTAAAAGCTCACTTGCAGTAGGATACTAGCTTGCTACCCCAACATCACACAAATAGGATATATAAGGACAGATTGAACATTTGAACAACATAGAACAGCACCACCCAAGTAGAAAGTTTGGTTTTGTAATTTAGCAACCAATAAAGTCATCCTTCATACATTCGTTTTTGAATTTAGGAACCTCTGGAATCCAAACTCATGTTTGATACCAAGTATAAAATTAATAAGTGAAATTAATCTATGAACATGATAATTCGAAAGCTTCCAATCCATTGCTCTGGATGAAATTCAATTAAAAAAAACCCAAAATTCACCACCCAAGGATTTTTAGTTGATGCCAAAATTGTTGGGAGATGGATGAAACTTATGTCAACATAGAGAGTGAAAAGAGCAAAAAATAACAAAATAATCAATACATATATATATATATATATAAGTTCAGATAATTGATGGCTACATCCTTTTGTTACCATTATAGATTTCAAGAGTCAATCCCAACTGAAATCAATGATTTGAATTTCAAATAGAGCCAAAAATCTAGTCAGGTAAATAAATGATTGATTTTTAGTAAACTTCCTATTTAATTTGAGTTAAGTTTATTAATTTCTATTTTTTATTTAAAATTTTAGCCAATATTAAAGTACTATTTAATTTTTTTTAAAAGAAAGGTACATATAAAATAAATTGCATTTATTATTATTATTATTATTACATACACACATGAATACTTGGTTATGTTTGTTTTGA